AGCGTCTGACTTTGGCTCAGGTCACGATCTCACGGTCTGTGAGTTCGAGCCCCGCGTCGGGCTCTGTGCCGACAGCTCGGAGCCTGGAGCCTGCCTCCGATTCTGTGTCTCCCTCTCTCTCTGCCCCTCCCCTGCTCATGCTCTGTCTCTCTCTCTCTCTTTCAGAAATAAGCAAACATTAAAAAAATTTAAACGTAAGTCAGGTAGAAGACAAACCAGAAAGCGGAAGTAGCAGTAATTTCGGAGGAATGTCTTCGTGTCCAGTTGTGATTCTCACACGGGCCGTGATTTGAGGAACTGTCACATTGCAGCCGCCGACTGGGAGGGGAGAGGGGTGGGCGCACGCGCACAGTCAGCTGCGGGACTGCTGTGGTCAGCAGGGTGGCTGTGCTGAGCCACTGCCAGCCAGCGTGGGCCCACCGACCGGGCCAGGCGTCCCCAAAAAGGTGACCTCACAGACCAGGAAGCCCGGCTTGCGGGCTCAGGGTCTCCACGGGGCAGCCCCGTTCTTTCTCGGTACCAGCCCATCCGTCTTCTGAGGGGACCGTCCCTTGAGGATGGAGGGCAGGGCCTGGAGACTGGGCTCCAAGCCTGACTTCCCAGGCCTCAGTGTCCCCATTTACAGACAGGAGAAAACAGTAGCTTCCTCACAGGGGCCTCTGGAGGACTCAACGGGCTACAGCTTGTGATGTTAACACTCAAGAAGCAGAGAACCGAGGCCGGTTTCTCCTTCTGATGGGCGTCCCCATCAGCCCGGCCTAACGTGGGGGCTTCAAAAGTTCTGCTCCCGGCACGCTCCCGATCGTGCAGCCTCTGGGGTCTCACCTTCCTCCGTGATGGGAGCTGGATGAGAAGTATGCCCCTCGGATGATAACCTGAACTCACCAGCCGAAGTCCCTGCCACCCAAGGCGGGGTCAACAGAAGAGGCCAGCTGTCAGAGGCTGACTCAGCACCCGGGAACCCACCAGTCGTGACCACGTCTGTCCCACATTAGACTGCACTGGAGAAAGGCAGGGGCGTGGAACGACAAAGGATCCGAACACACACTTCTCCAAAGGTTATTCACAAGTGGCCAACAAGCACACAAGGAGACGCTCAGAATCGTCAGTCATCAGGAAAACGCACACCCGGGCCACAGTGAGACATCCCTTCCCGCTCATCAGGACGGCCACGGTCACACACAGACGGGGGCAAGTGTAGGCGAGGGCAGGAGACACTGGAGCCCCGCACGGCGCCGGTGGGGACGCAAAAACGGTGCAGCTGCCGTGGCTGGAACAGTACTGGGCGCGATCTCAGAACAGACAGGTGGGAAGACCCAACGACCCCACCCGGGGGATCTGCCCGGGGGACACGAACGCAGATGTCCACGCAAAAGCCTGTGCACGCACGCCCACAGCCGCACTGTTCGTGACAGCCAGAAGGCAGAAACAACGCGAGCGCCCAGACTGCTGGACGGATGGGACACGATGTCTGTCCGCACCAGGTAATGTCATCCAGCTGCGCCGTGGACGGGTCTCGAAAACATCGCGCTCAGTGTGAGTCTGTCTTCAAGGACCACCTGCTGCAGGAATGTCCAGAATGTGCAAATCCATGGACAGAAAGTAGCGTACTGACCGCAGCGACGAGGGGAGTGGCCGTTGGTGGGTCGGGGTTCCTTTCTGGGCTGAACCCCAAAACCGCTGGTCGGTATACTTTAAGTGGGTGAATTTTATCTCAGTAAAGCTGTTGAGAAGAAAAGGAAAGAAAGAAGGGAGGCCACAAGGCCACTTGTGCATCTGGAAGCACATCCCCTGTGGACCGGGCTCCCCTGGCCCCCCCACCCCCGGAGAGCCGCACCCCACAGACGCCCACACCAGGTGACGAGCCTTGCTCCTGCCCCTCCCTCTCCGGCCGATTGTCATTTAGCCGATGGCAGCAGTCTGGCAGGGCCTGGGCAAAGTTCCAGGTGCACGCTGGTCCACGAGAGACCAGTGGATGAGACCGTGGCTCCGAAAGCGATCGGCTAGGGCACCAGGAAGCGGTTTCCTATTACTCTAGTAAGAAGACTTGGGGTCTGTCCTCTTAACAGACCTTCAGCGCACAAGCCAGCATCGTTACGCGTGGGCACGGTGCTGGTGGCCACAGACCTCTCGGACCTTCTCACCTCGCACGACAAGAGTCTACGCCCCTGTGCGCCTGTAGGGTTTGCCGACCTTGGGTCCCTCATATGAGCGGAGCCGGGCGGTGCTTCTTCTGTGACCGGCTTATTTCGCTCAGCACGAGGTCCGGCACTTGCCTGCGTGTGGTCACACGTGGCAGGAGTTCCTCCTCTGTTTTCCACTGTACGCGGACCACATTTGCTCCATCCGCTTATCCATCGATGGACACTGAAGGTGTCCCACTGTCGACTCCCGTGGACGACGCTGCCGGGAGCGCGGGCAGACTCTGCAACGCTTCCTCATCATCAGCTTGAGAGGGGCCACTGATGCCTCGACCTCCAGACTCAGAAACGCCAAGGGCAGCGAGGGCAGTGCGCCAGCTGTGGGGTCCGCCACGCGGTCAACGTCCCGCGAATGCCGGCTTTCCCGGCCATCGCTGCGTTTCACAGAGGCATCCGGAACAGAGCGAGACAGTGCTCATCTAAGACTGACGCAAGACGCGGAATTTTCTAAAAAGGATCTTTTTCAAGGCCGTGTCTTCACTTAGGCTTGACAACATGTGCCTCGCTCACGCTGGCACTTATAATGATGTCTACACACCCCTTGTGGCCACGACCACTTCCCAGGATGGGCCTGGACAGCACACCGTTGGAAACCACGGCGCGGGCTCAGAACAGCCACCGGCCCTTCGTGCTGGCCGGTGACAGCGGTGAGGACACTGAGGCCCGGCCCGGCCGCACTCTGCAGGCAGGCAGAGGATGACCACGTCCCGCCATGCATTGGATCTCAAGGCGGCCACAAATGCAGGAGCGCTGCATCAGAACAGAGGGACGCGAGCACATCACCACCGCACGTAAGACTTCTCCGGGTCCCCACGACCGCCGAGGGGAAGCACAGGGCAGCAGCCCGGATGCACAGAAGAGCCCTGTGGGGGGTGGCTGGGCACGTGGCACCCGCGTTTGCGCGCAAGGACACGGGTGGTGTCCCACAAGCAGATGTGCGCTGGCGGGCAGGCTTCCCCCTCCTAACGCAGCCCCTCGCCGTGGCCAGCACTGGGGACCTCCGCCTTTCTGATGGAGGGAGAGGTCTGACCCGGGAGTGACCAGACGGATGGACACCGGCTGCCCCGTCGCTGTCCTGGAGATCGGCCCTTTCAGAGGGTCGCCTGATGGAAAGCCGCTCTTTCCTGCCAGCCGTCGGTGGGCGGAGGGTCCCTGCCTGTGGTCCCGGCCGAGCTGGGGAGCATCTGGAATTAGCAGTTCCGCTGGTTGGCTCCTGAGCCCTCACTAATCTTTTTGCGATTCCCTCCGTTCAGGTACATGCTTGCCCTTCCACGGCGAGCGAGCGTTCCCTGCTTACCCCAGCCCCGCAAGGAACATCGCTGCGCGCGTGCTCCCTGCATCAGCTTCTGCTGTGAGGCTGGCGGTTTTCTCCTCTGCAGCTGGGAAGCTTCAGTCTCGGCCGGGTCGGCCCGGAACAGGCCATGCGGCTCCACGCGTGTGCCCCTAAGCTCTGTGGCCAGACGACAGTCATGCTGGGAACGCGGAGGTCAGCGGGAGGGCGCCAGGCCTGACGGGGCGGGGACAGGACCACACATCCAGTTGAACAGAAGGCAGGTTCAGGGGCACTGAGATTCCAGGGCTCACCGTGCGCCCCTGGAACGTAGAGGAGCCTCCCACGCGGCCCTAACATGAGGAGGACTTGCCCCTGTATTTCAGGGTAACGTGGAGAACACCCCCAAATTCAGAAGGTGCCCTGGGGGCTCCCATGGCCTGGCACCCAGCAGAAGGCTGGGCTGCTGGGGGGGGGGGGGGGGGCGGGGGTGAGGGGCCCCACCCAGCCCGCTTCACCCCTCCAGCACGTTTTCTCCTCGCCATACTTTCCGCTACTTTGTTTTGCAAAAAAGGATTTGTCGTTGCTTGTTTAATCCACCTTGTTCTAATAGTTCTGAGGTTGGTCTGATGTCTGTTTCCCACCCTGCCCTCCCTTAGCCAAGTCCAATGGTGACATGGCCGCTCTCTTCCTGGCAAATATGAGAATGGAGGGCTGGTGGGGGTGGGGGACCGGAACACTGCGCCCCCCCACATCCCCACCCGGACCCCTGTTTCAGCCTCACAAACCGGGCATCACTATGTAATAGGATCGTTCAGAGGTACCTACTTGACGTTTTCTCTGACTTCCTTCTTTCTTGCAGCTCAGCCCCTGTCGTGCTGTCAGCTTTATTCTCACCAGAGAGAGTTTTCAGGTGCTTGTCCGTGGGCTGTGAGGGCCGCCACTGTGCGTTGGCCTCCGGCTGTTCCTGACTTGTGCAGGCAGCTGGGCCAGGGTGGTGAGGCTCCCTCGGGGTCAAGGCCTCCCAGCCCCTGACTCGACCCCGCTGGGCCGAGACCAGGCCCATCTGTCCAGCCGGCAGGTGCCCGGCTTTCCTGTCTGGGTATTTGTACAGCCTGCCCTTTGTCTCCGTGGGCTGTGACTTCCCTGGGGCAGGCCCACGTGTGGATTCTGTTTATTTCCCTGCTGGGCACGTGCTGTCCCCCTAGAGCCACAGAACCACGTCTCCGTCCATCCGGGGGCGTCCTCGGCCATCACCGCCCCCGGCACTGCCTCCCCGTGTCCCCCCACAGACCCGCGCGTCCCCCCTTCCTTCTCGTCGCTCCCGTGTCACACTTCCCTGGCGGGGCTCCGCCGCACGTGTGCGCCCCGCGTGCCCGTTCCCTCGTGAGCAGGGTCCAACGTGACGGAACACGCGTCTTCTAAGCGTTCACTTTAAAAACTACAATTACGGTTTTTATTTATAGAAGTTCTATTTGATTCTTTGTCACACCTGTCGCCATCTGTCAGTCTTTTGTTCTCCTCGGACCTCGAATTCCCATCTTATCTGTCTTGACAGATTCCTCAGGCCTAACTCGGAGCTACTGATCCCAAGAGGTGCCGCGAACCTGCTCCCCGCCGGCCACGGCTCCGGGTCCTGGTTTAGACCCAGCGTCCCCCCTCCCCTGCAGCGGGCCCAGCTGGGGCCCCTGGAAGGCAACCTCGAGATTCAGTGAGCACCCCGCTTTCTGCTGCGTGGATGGGGCGGGGCTGAGAGGTTCCCTCACTCCCTGTGAACCCAGCCGGCTTTCTCCGGGACTGAGCTCCTCAGGATCCTGCTGGAGGCGGAGTCTACAATTTTGTTTTTATCGATTAGCATTTGCCCTTTGGGTGTGTGCTCACATCACTTCTTACGCTCGTCAACGACTCATTGTATTTTTCGTGTCAGAGGAATTCTGGTTCTCCCCCCACCCCACCCCCACGCACAAATCGTGTCTCATCCAGAAAAGAAACCAAACCCTGGGCACTGAAGCTGTTACGTGTGTAAGGCAAGAGATAAGCCCCAGGCCGGTGTGCTGGCCTCGGCAGAGGCAGCGGGAGGTCGCGGCCTCCTCGACGGGGCTCCCTTCTCTGCCCCGGAACCAGGAGGTGAATGGAGACCCACCATTCCCCACACGGCAGGCACACGGTGGCTATTACTCTCTCTTTAGTGGAAAAGAAACATGGTCTTCCGCGAAGAAATGGAAACGGCACAAAGGCAGACGTGTAAATAAATAAACGTGAACCATAAAAAAAATAAAAGGCAAAATAAAGAGCAAATAAGTAAAACAAAAAAGGAAAAAAGTAGAAGGCCCTCCTCCCTGGACTCCCTGACACTCAGTCTCCCGTTGACCCCTTGAGACCCTCTGGGCACGAACGGCCCTGTAGACGTGCACACACCTCATACACACGGTGTTCAAAAAAACCAGCATGCCACGTACTTTGCGGGAGACCTTCCCTTTGCGCTTAAAAGTGTGTCTTAAGCAGCGCCAGGGTGGCTCCGTCGGTCGAACGTCCGACTCTTGGTGTCGGCTCAGGTCACAATCTCACAGTTCATGAGTTCGAGCCCCGCGTCGGGCTCCGCGCTGACGGTGTGGAGCCGGCTTGGGATTCTGTCTCTCTCTCCCCGCCTACCACTCCCCTTG